CACCTATTCCCCGCCAGTCTTCTGCATATCATGAGAGCCTTTGTGGCTTTGCTGGTAATGTTCTTAATATGCCTGTTCCAGAGAAGTTTACTATCCAGGGTTATTCCTAAATATTTCACTTCCTGTGATGGCAATATTTCCTTTCCACCTAGATGGATTCTTTTCAAGTTTTTCAAACTTCGCTTTCTGGTGAATGGAACTACCGCGGTTTTATCTGAGTTGATACTCAGCCCGACAGTCCTGCACCATCTCTCAGTGATGCAGAGTCCTCTTTGGATAATATCACACAGGGTGCCTTCATGTTTCCCCCGTGCAATCATGACTATGTCATCTGCATACCCTATGCAGTGTATTCCCGCTACAGTTAATTCTTCCAGTAGTTCATCCACTACCAAGCTCCACAGTAGGGGGGAGGTCACTCCACCTTATCGAGTTCCTTGCGTTGTTTTAACAACCACAGTTTTGGTACCTATCTCAGCTTCTGCTGTTCGTGTTGAGAGCATTTCCCAAAACCAGCGAATTATCGTATTTTTCACCCCTCTTGTTTCAAGAGATCGCTTGACCACATTGTGAGGTATATTGTCAAACGCCCCTGCAATGTCCAAAAAGGCACAAAGTGCTGTTTCTTTGCTATCCAGGCTTGCCTGTATTAGCTCAATTAACTGGTACAGAGCAGTTTCTGTGGATCTGCCCGCTCTATATGCATGCTGACTATCGTGCAGTGGTTTAACCTGTAGATGATTTACTCTAATATGGTTGTCCACTACTTGCTCCATCGTTTTTAATATGAACGATGTGAGACTAATAGGCCTAAATGATTTGGGGTTAGGCCAGTCAGTTTTGCCTATTTTGGGTATGAAGATGACTTTCGCTCTTCTCCAGATGGTTGGTATATATCCCATCGCTAAGCTGCTTCTTGTAATGTTTAATAGATGGAGTGTAGCTATTTCCTGACCCTTCTTTAGAAGGACAGGAAAAATCCCATCTATTCCTGCTGTTTTATAAGGCTGAAAGGTGTCAATAGCCCATTTCAGTTTTTGTTCTGTTATTAGTAGCTGGGCCGTCTCCCAGTCTTCCCTGCGAGGATTGTGGGGTTCGGTCGGAGCTACTTGCGTATCAATAGATATGCTACCTGGAAAGTGTGTATGAAGTAGGAGGTTAGCTCTCTCTTCACCTCCTTCCGTGTAGCTTCCGTCAGGTTTCTTAAGTGCCATGTTGGGGATGGGCCCACTCTTGGCCATAGCTTTGTGTAGCCTAGCTGCATAAGTAGTTGAAGTGATGTTTTCGCAAAAGCATCTGAAGTCAGACCGCTTTGCCCTTCTAATCTCCTTATTATACTCAGTTAATTTCTCGGCGTAGAGCTGCCATTCGCCGCTGGGTTTGGCTCTGTTGAAGAGTCGTCGAACCTCCGATCTAAGATTGTCTAGCTTTTTGTTCCACCAGGGATTGTTGTTACTTTTTTGTATGCCCTTACTTGTGGGGCAACTAGATTCATATGCATCCAATATTGCACCACTGACTTCCTTTGCGTACCATTCTAGATACAGGTGGTTCCTAGCCCTACCTGCATCTATTTGGTCCAGGTTGTCTACGAGCTTGGTGTGGTATAGTTCCCAATCGGTTTTTCTTGGATTCCTTCGAATTTCAGTTTGGAGTATGATTCCTCCTAATTTGAACTCGATGATTCTGTGATCTGATAGGGAAGGTTCCGTTGAAACCCTCCAATCTTTCACGTAACTAGTTACACTAGCACTCCCGATTGTTAAATTTAATACTTCCGCCCGCGTTTTTGTCACAAACGTGGGGGTGTTCCCTATATTGAGAACTTCAACATTGTATGCTAAGAGGAATTCTAGTAAACACTCACCTCTAGTGTTAGTATTAGTGCTTCCCCATACCTCATTGTGCGTATTGGAGTCACATCCCAATAGCAGAGGTAGTCGCCGTTGGCTGCAGAATCGCACGAGCTCCTCTATTTCCGGAGGCGGTGTCTGCCCATCACCCGGAAAGTATGCAGAGGCAATCACGATATTTTTGCTACAATCCTCGATATTAAGTTAACCATGATTGGAACAAGATCCCGGGTTGTAAATTCTGAAACACATGTGTAGTTAATGTTGTTTCTTATAAGAATACAGGCTCGGGGAAGTTCCTGCCTGTTATCATATATTACACTGGAATTTTTTCCAGACAACCCTTTAATTTGTCCCTGGTACACCCAGGGTTCCTGGGCTAGTACCATTACATATTGGTTTTTCTCAAAGAGTCTTGTGATTGTGGCAGAAGACCCTTTTGCATGGTGCAGGTTTATTTGGGATATCCCATGCATCAGGTTTCTGGGGTAGGTAAGGGTCCCCCTGTTGTAGGGAGGACAGGGTATTTCCCATCCCCCCCTGGCAACAGATGTTCCTCCTCCGTGGAGTGGTCATCAACCTCCTCCGAGGATATACACCCTTTCACGGCTGGAGTTACGCCAACCGTGTCCTTCACAGTCGAGGAGCTTGTCTCCGGCTGAGGTACTTGTGAGTTGGAGGCTGGAGTATTTGTCTCCATTTTCTCCCCCTCTTTAGCTTGTTCTTTTCTTGGACCTGATACCGGTACCGTCCCGAATCTATAATAGAGGTTATATCCTTCTTTCTCTATTGCCTCCTTGGATTTGAGGTCAATTCCTATTGTGAGGACCTGACCATGGCCCTCCTCCTTCGAGTTGAGGACTCGCCAGCTCGATGTACTCACATTCTCGTTCTGAGCTTGGATAAGGTCTAGCAGGTAGGCGGTGTCTTTCCCCTTGCTTCTTGGCAGAAAGACCGTGATGGTTGTCCCTTTAGGGATGTTTTCTCCCCTCATTGCAACCAGTCCCGGCCCCTGCCAATTTTTAAGCTTAGGTGCCGTTTCCACCAACCAATCCGCCGATTTTTCAGATGCACAATCTATGAGGATCATGCCCACCCTAAAGTGTATCCCCGCAAAGCGCAGCTGACCCACACTTTGTGGATCGTTGCGTCGCAATCCGCTCGCTACTACTTCGTCCAGTATCGCCTCTTCTAGAGCCGTTTGCTGCTCGGTAGTCAGTACAACCTCAGGATATTCCTTTGGAAGCACCGCAATTTTCACTTGTCCAGCAATAGCGGCATAGCTAGTGATACGTCCCTGCTTGCCTCTCGGTGTGGGACGGCTTTCCATCCTGGCTTTTTTCTCTCCTTGACGGAGCAAAGGGGAGAGGTTTTCGCTCCCTCTCTTGCCCTTTGGTGGAGATGCGCCAGGTTGTTTCTTGGTTCCTTTTTCAAGGAGAGTTTTGGCTTTTGCTTCCTCCGGAGCAAGTCCTTCGTGGAGCAGCCGGAGGTATCTCCGTACTTGTGCTCCGCTAAGACCTACTCTCAGCGGATCGTCTAACCCGCCTGGTTGACCCAAGCCTGGTAGACGGAACGGTAACTGGTGTCGCTTGTTAGGTCTAGAGGTGGACTCCCGAACCTTACTAGAAGAGGTGATAGCTTGTGTACCACTTGTGGAGGCTGGCCTCGCACAAGTGTCAGCCGCCCCTCCTGTAGTTCCCTTTGGGATTGGTCCCTTGGAACTTTCGTTCATAATGTTCCCAGTGTTACTAGGGGGTTTCCCCACAGCTTCACCGGTGGTGTTTTTATGATAGTTTGATCTCATAGTGTTCCCACGAGTCGCTAGGGATAGTCAGTCCACTTCTACAGAGCCCGCATGTAGAAGTAAGAGGTAAATACAATGGGTGCCCCTGGTGCTCCAAGGTTGAGACCAGTAGAGGCTAGTCTCTATCTAGCCACGCATCCCTTTGACCTGGTCCCACCATCGTAGGATTTAGTTTTTTAGTGAGGTTGTCTCTCTTGGTCCGGGCGGTTAAGCCAAGACCCCCCCCACACCCTCTACCCGCGAGACTTGACCACAGACAGTAGAAGGTGCCTGGTTAAATGTCTTGGTGCAATTCCCTGGCCACGACACTACAGCCAGAGACAAGACAATGAGTGAGATGCTTCTTAGACCAAGCCAAAATGCTAAAGGTGATTCCCTCAGCACCCGGACCAGGAACTTCCCCACCAACGACAAGGTCTTGCATCTCCTAGGGAAAGTTGTACAGTGATAAAAAATTGTCTAAACAAGGCCGAAGGGGCAGATATAATAAAGCAATAAAATGTAAAAAAAGGTCGGGTAACACCTTTGTTTATTTGTTGAGCAAAATCCTTTTAGAATATCGTATATAATGACCAGAAATGACGCAATTTTATTTTTTATTTTAAGATAAAAAATCTCACTTTCTGGCATATAATAAAATTTCAAATGCAACGTTTATATTCAAATTTGTTATGATCTACAATAGTTAGGTAGTCATTCAGTGGCGGTCTCAGCAATTGTCAAAGGGGGGGGCTAAGGACTATTTTTTTTAAATGTTTATGTACAAAATAGCAAATAATATATTTTGTATTAATAATTTACTGAAACAAGTTGAACCAAAGTTTCATAATACTTATTTATACAAAATACAAAACATAATATATATTTATATTATTAAATATTTTTCTTTATTAGTCAGTGCTTGACCAATCTTTTAATTGCATACGCCTTGGCTTCATCGAAGCAAATTTGTTAATGACTTTCTCATGATCAATATCGACCTCTTTATGAACATTCAACAAAGCCAAGCCGCAAAATCTTTCATTCAACATAGTTGAACGTAGATATGTTTTAAGGCGTTTGCTTGTTGAAAAACTTCTCTCAGGTGTTGCAGTTGTGACAGGAAGAGTGGCAAAGATGTTTAACAGGATCCTGATTAGTGGAAAAAATCGGTGCAATACATTAAGGCTTCCACTGCTGCAGAAGGACGAATAACAGTTGTTTCATCATCCCATCTTTTATGCCACATTGTTATTTCAGCATGAAGCTGATTTTCACTAACGTTTAGATCCGATTGATAGAACATGGCTGCTTACAATTTCCCCTATATTATATTTGGAAGATTTTGCAGGAATTAATCCTTCTAACGGAATTACTTCTGCCAATCTATCATTAAACCTTGATTTGAGCTCTTCAATGAAATGGTCTAAAAATGGAATAAATATAGACTTACGAAAGTACTCATTGGTAGTGGATGCTTCCACGTTATTCCTTTGGGTTTGTCTTCCACATAATCTAAAAGCAAATTAAAGACGAATGTTGAATGTGACATGTAGGTAGCATCATTTTACCTTGGAATTTTAATTTCTACTCCAAGACGTTCCGACGAGTTTTTAAGATCAACAAATATTTTGTTGAATATGTCTTCTGAGGTAGATCTTAAATCCTTAAATGTGTTTATTAAAGTCGTCACATTATCCAAAGCTGCAGAAATATCTAAGTCCTTGCTCTGAAGAACAGTACTTAATGTTACTGAATATTCGAATAAATAAGCAGTGACCCATAGGGAAACCAAAAAATCGCTTCTTTTTATAGACGAACCATAGCACATTGCATTTCGCGAAGTTTCGTTATCTTTATCGTTTTCCAATTGTTGTAAGGTTATGACAATAACAGGCAATAAATCTTTGAACGTGATTAATGTGTCATGCCTTTCAACCCATCGTGTTGCACAGAGTGATTTCAGTTTTCTTCTCTTAGTTTCTGAGATGGCCTCTTGTTCATCAATTATCTCATTCATCATATTAACTCGTTTTGCAGAACCACTTAAAAATGTAGAAACACTTGCTACAATTCCCATCGCATTTTTAATTGCACTCAAATCGCATGATTTGGAAACAGCTAAATTAAGCGAGTGATTAAAACAATGAGTGTATAAGGCCAGTGGTTGCTCTTTCCGGATTAGTGCTTGGACACCTAAACAATGATATAATATCTATAATACTCACTTTATATGTATAATTTTTTAAGTTATACCTTTAAAACTTCCGGACATATTCGCAGCTCCGTCATAACCTTGACCTCGAAGATTTTCCAGACTCAGTCCCATATTTGTTAGTTCCTGTAATAATGTGTCCGTAATGGCTTTAGCTGTGGTTGACTTCATTTCCACAAAACCTAAGAATTCCTCACGAATAATGAAAGCCTGCAAATCCACATATCTTACGCAAATTGTTAACTGTTCTTTTTTAGAACAATCTGTGGTTTCGTCTAATAAAACTGTGAAACAATAAGCTTTTTTGATCCTTTCCACAATAACACTTCGCACTTCTTCTCCGATGGAACTTATTAAATCATTCTGAATTTTTCCACTTATCATCATGCTGTTGTTCCCACACTTTTGAAAATGTTGCATTAGAGTAGTGTCTCCAGAATCAATTCTAAAAGCAAGTAGAGCTCTAAATACGCCTTGATTGCCAGATAATATGTTTTTATTGTCTTCAGAATCTAAGCTTCCACCTTCTCGGTGTCCCCTTAGCGAGAGATTATTCCTTCCACAAAAAATTATTGTTTTAATAATTGGAATGAGTCTCTCTCTGTTTCTTTTAATAACACTATCTACTTCCTTATCCAGCATCATGCAAACATCCTTACTGGATTCATAATTTTTTATAAAATCTCCAGCACGCTCCAGGCTTTTTAGATGGTATTGTTTTTTGGCGTGTTCCTCAAATATTTTAATAGCGTCTTTGTATTTCTGTAATGGCTCTCGGACCAAAACCTTGAGAGTCTGAAATTTTAAATAGGTAGGTATGATATAGATAAACAATGTAAATATTTTCTCATTGCATGGTCCACACATTGTTAATAAATCAAGCAAATGCAGATAAATTTATTTTCGGACGTGTGTTCATATGAACTTTTTTTCATAAAATTGGCTCAAGGATACGCCCTTGAATTTTTTGCACTTATTTAGGAAACACCCTGTACATGGTGGCGCCTCTCATACGCCGCGGAAGCTCCAAGGAGAACGGTAGTTTTTATCGAAATGAAATGTTGGCAGCATATGTAGATTAACTGGAAGCATTTTATAAAAATATATAGAATTATACAAGGTGTCCCCAAAAAAAGTTACACATCAAAGTTGTTTTTTTTAATGGAACACCCTATATATTAATTGATTTTCGGATTCTAGGAAAAAATAAAGGTAAGTTTTATTAAAGAAGCATATACCTAAAATTTAAGAATTTTAACATATTTTACATTTTATGAAAATGTAGAGTAAATTTTAAATTGCAATAACACCTACCTAAATTTTAGTTGACTTTATATAGCCTGATATTTAATTACAGTAACCATTGTATGTTAAACCAAATTGAAATTTGATCCGAAAAGTTATACAGGGTGAGACAAAATTAATATGAAACATTAGTCACTTTTAAAAGCAAGTTACTCCTTTATTTTAAATAGAACACCCAGTATATTATTCCGGTGTTCAATGGGGAATTTATATATCTTCAAAATATTATTAAGGTTGCCTACCTCTCAGACAAAGATTTTCCTAAATATTTTCATTTTTATAATTTTGCGTCAGTAGATCGAGTATTTTGCGTCAGTAAAATAATGAATTTAACTACATATTAGGCTATACCGGGTAAATTCCAATTTAGGTGGTTTTTACTGTAATTTAAAAATTGTTCTTTATTTCTAAAAAATGTTAAATATGTCAAAAACCTTACATTTTAGTCATATACTTCCCTTATTAAACTCACCTATATTTTTCTCCCAGAATCCGAAAATCAATTAATATATAGGGTGCTCCATTACAAAAAACACAACTTTGATATGTAACTTTTTTGAGGACACCCTGTAGAACTCTCTATATTTTTAAAAAATGCTCTGAATTTACTTACATATGCTAACAAAATTTCATTTCAATACAAACTGTAGTTCTCCTTGGAGCCTCCACGGCGTATGAGAGGCGCCATCCAATATAGGTACTACTCGTTAAGCAAAAATAAAATAACTGTACTGTAAAAATATAAGTACATATTATTGTATAGAAAAGTACAGGAATTTTTCTGGGAAAATAAAAAAGCTTTCTACATTCCTACCTGAAAACCCACTCCAGCTCCAGAAGGTGCAAAAAGTACACATAATCTACAAAAGACACCTTCTTTTAATTTACTATATGATAAGTAATTGAATTTGCTCAACCAGTCGATATTGAATCTTCGATTTTGTTTTTTTTCCTTTCTCATTGGGAACTGATAATTATTTGTTGGTCTCCATGCACTTTTTAGAAGCTTATATCGCATGCTGCGATCCAAATTAATATCTGTTTCTGCCGCGTATCCAATATCTAAATCACTAATAAGACCTAGACCGACAACATCTGAATCATAGTTTTGCTCGCTTACCACAGGCACAGCCCTAATTTTACTTAATTCGGGGTCTTGTTTTTTTGATATTTCAACAGTACTAGAACTACTAGAGTAACAACGACTGAAACTGAGACCTTCACTGGAACTAGAATTATTATCAACCGTTACAGTCTTTTTAAAGAAATTTCGGATATCTTCGTGGCCGTAGCTCCTTTTTCATTTTTTCAATCCAGTTTGTTTTTAATATTACATGAATTTTTGAACTATGAATGAAAAACAAACAGAGGGAAGAAGCCCGCTTTAATCCTTTAACACACCAAAAATAATCGGTACTCGGTACTACATTCGGCGATTCAACGGTAATCACAATTTCACAATCGGCAAATTCAAACATAACCACATTTCGAAGAACTTCACGAACACTCCGAGCAGCCGCGCTGAAATAGGGATGTTCCACGTGAATCGATTCCTAATAAATCGATTTTTGCAATGTTTAGGGTTTTAATTCGTAATACATAATCCTTGTAATACTAGCATTTTTGACTGGGCTTATGGGGGGGGCTTGAGCCCCCAAAGCCCCCCCCTTGGGACCGCCACTGTAGTCATTGAGACGAATTATAATTCAATTACTGGCTACTACGTTCTTGTTTTAATAGATTAATTACAAATATAATTAGAAATTATTTTGATTGTGAGAGGCTCCCTTGTGGGACGCATAATGTGGGACGTACAATGTACCTTGTGGGACGTACAATGACGAAAACAATACCCACCTGTGAAAAGACAAATTCGGGTAATTTGAGCTTATTTTTCCACACACTTGACACTGTCGTACCATACTGAATTCGCAGATTCAAAAGTAGGTACGTTAAACAAAAACAAAAACCACCGAAAAACACTGAAAGTTCACTTTCGTCTTGATTCCGACTTCAAACACACCGCAAGCTAAACGTAGTACGCTATAACGGACCATTGGCCGTCGCGAGGGGTGGTGGGACGGACGGCTCATTTCATTCTGGAAGACTAGCAGCGACGTTGCCAATAGTTCTAGACGTTTCAGCACATTAAACAGTAAACATGTCCTTTAATAGTAACGCATATATCCTCTGGTTAATAATATATTATTACGCATGCTTCTTTAAAAATAAACTATTAATTTAATTAAGAAATTGAGATTTATTGATATCCGGTAAAGGTTTTAAAGTCACCTTTTCTGCAAATCAAACTGAATAGATAGGCGCAAATTTGAGATGTGGCAATGTCGCCTTCTCTATCTCAGTTGGTTTTTACAGTAAGTAGTCAACCTCTGATTGTTTGATCGGGTTAAAATGTCTAATGTGATATCTGTTCTTACTTAATCTATGTCTACGACGTATTCTATATTTGGAATCCCTGGTTTACAATGTGGATTAGGTATCTCCGTACGTATACGTAGGTAAGATTTCCTTTTAAATGCGGTCGAAGTGGAAATTTGGCATACATGCAATTTTCTAAGGCAATGATGGATTTCGCCAAAATGTGATTTGCCGGGTCTAATTTATTTCATTGATATCGCCTAAACCTCGCCTTAATTCGACGTAATCATCGGTTTCCGTCGCTATCGAGCGATGAGTTGGAGAGAGACAAAATTTTTAAATCAATTTACAACAAGTAGGCTTTGGAGCATCACAAGATAAAAACAAATGCATAAAGAAATTGTCGTAACATGTCGAAAATCGCTTCACTTGATAGTAGGCTTTGGGAAATGCTATTATATCGCACCAGGGGAGTTTCAACTTTGAAATTTTTTTAAAACGTATATTTTACAAATCATTTTTTTATGATCTGATATGATAAAACAAGTTTTTATTGTTTTTCTGCTTTTTCACATTTTAATAATTTATATAAGATTCCCAAATTTGTATACGGGTTTTACATTTTTGTTAAAATATATTGTTCAAAAAAGACTTTCAAATTTATGAACGATTTTGAAAAAATGTAAGAATACCTATCGTATTTTTATACATGTAATTCGCTTAGGTGCGGTCTTTATACTTTTATGTCGCGCAAAAGAATCTGCTCCAAACTGCCACCCTGTGTGGTAAACGGTGTTTACACTAGATGCAATTGGATGGCAATTTTTAAAAATGGCATGCAATTCGGTTTTACGCGCAATTTATCGTTTACATAGGTTGCAATAAAATACATGCCATCATTTTGAGATTCTATTGTGCTAACCTAAATAAAATGACTATAACAACTGTTTCATTTATTTTTTTATTTTATCTTCAAGGTATCGTTGTGTATGTTTTATTAAAGGTTTTTAGATTTTATAATTTGAGTTTGTATCTTAATTTATTATTATTTGTACTACTTATAACATGGATTGTAAAACAGTATCTATATTATTTTAATTATAAAGTTTGATTTTATAGTATATTATATTTTTGGTTTGTCGCATGCTACGTGCAACAAAATCAGCGCGTTCTAATTCCATGCAATGCAATGAAAATTGCATCAGCTGATCGAAAAGTGTGAGGTGCGCATGCGTTCGGGCAACTAAAATTGCCATTGCACCGTATTGCACGTTGCACGTAGCGTAGCGTAAACAGGCCTGTAGACCATATTGTTGTTGGATGCACCGAGTTCCTATATAAAAACTGCTATCAAAAAATAAAAAATGAGGAGGTTATGCCGGTTGACTTGTACTTTAATTATGATAGATTTTTAATGAGGTTCGGTAATATTACTAAGTACTTATTGGTATAAAAATAATGGGGGTTAGGGGAGAACCGGGCAGCCCCGCCCACTTAAGCTTATATAGGTTTTAAAAATGATCCGTGACACTTATCTTTCGATTCAATAGTGTATGCACTTCTTTGGTCCATTGTTTTTCTGAGCATGTGCTAATTCTGACAGAAAAAAAGTGTTTTCATTGAAATTATGCAATTTTTAAAAAAGTCTGCTTTGGACGGGGGTACCCGACAGGGTTGGTAACCCCGCCCACCCGTCTCATCATATCGGGTAACGCCGCTCAAGAGCCTTAATATTAATTCAGAAAGTATAAATAAACACAATCGAACATATTCTGTAACAAATTAATCATTTATGTTTATTATTAAGGTATACTACAAACAAAAATCGCAAATATAGGGCTTGGAACCATCTTGGCCCGTACAATCTTTGTGTGCCCACTTTTTACACAGTCCACATTGGAACCAAAGTTCCGTTTTCCCGAACTCATTGCAGATTATGCACATTGCATCTTCCATAAAGTCTTCCATGTCGTCGGAACTGTTGTCATCGCATATGTTTTCGATAGATATTTCGCTAGAACTAGATTCTTCAAACACTTTCTTTTTAATTTTTTCCACACCTCTTCTTACATGTAATTTAGTCTTCTGCTTCTTGCTTTTAGAATTTTTATTTTTTGTTTTCTTCTTCAACTTTTTTTGTTCCAGATATTCTTTTTCTGGTGTGGCTGTTAATATTTTAGATGTGATTGAGCTTCTAGTTTTTTTTTTGTAACTAGGCCTTTATTGTTGGTGTTGACAATTGGTGATAATTCTTTAAATTGCTGACAATTTGAGGCTGACCTACATCAGTTATTAGATTGGTTCTAGAAACAGTTGCTGGGAGAAAATCATCTTCGCTAAATATCGATGGGTTATAAGGCCAAATTCCACTAACTTGAAATCCTTTTTGGGCTTTTTCTATTGTCGCGATCTTTACAAATGCCTTATTAAATATTTCTGCCACATCATATGGGGTAATCTTTTGGTGGGGATTTTGTCTCATAAAAGTGGAGCACTCGTTTGAATATGATTTTTTTAAAGGACCGTAAACAGTGAGATCCAAAGGTTGAAGCTTGTGGCTCGTGTGTGGTGGGAAAGATAATACAGTAATACCATTTGCACGACAGAAGTTGTAAGCTGACAGGGAACAATGGCTAGCATGGTTATCGAGGATGAGTAGATCAGGATTATCAATAGAACAAGCAGTATGCAGCTTAAAATGATGGAGCCGCTCAACAAACAACCCCTCTGTTATCCATCCTTTCGAAGAACAGGTGTATTTTGCACCAACTGGGCCATTTCTTTTTAGCTGATCTGACATCCTTTCCCTAGGATATATGAACATAGGTGGAATAAAAGAACCTAATGCACTGATACAGCCACATACAGTAATAACCGCCCACGTTCATAGCTAACCGCTTTCCCAAGTTGTTTGGTGCCTTTTGGGCCAATCACTTTGGTCGGAGCTTGTACGGTGGTAATACCCGTCTCGTCCATGTTATAGATCCGATGAGGTCCAATTTTAAGCTTTTCAAGTGTACTGCCAAGATTCTTGTAGAATAACGCAACACTTTCTTGATTAAATCCAGAAATTCTGCCTAAGCTTGTTGCCTCCGGTTTTCTAAGACTAATGTATGGATTTCTCTTCATAAAAGCACCAAACCCATCTTTTCCCGCCATTCTTTTAGTTGTATTAAAAAGGTGGGTGACCGAGTTTGACTCGGCGTATTCAAATATAAGTTTTCTTAAGTCGGTTGGGGTCAGCCCGTAAAACATTTTTGCCAAATATATGCAATGTTGCACTATTTCACTCTCCTGGTCATTAGTAAAAATTGGTTTATAGCGACCCAGCTTAGGTTTAGACAAATCATTAGATTTTAAACGGTCCTTTAATGTGGAGAATGGTATCCCTAAAACCAGAATTAATTATATTAATAAAAATTCCCTGACCCTTGTAAAAAATTGTGCCAAAAATTTCTGGCGCTTTGTCTTATTCCCATTCCTTCCACAACAGCATGTTTAGCCCGTTCTAAATCTTCAACAGTCCATGAGCCCCTATTTGTTTGTCTTTGTCTAAAATGTGGCATCGATATAAAATATACAAATATTATTAAAACAAGAAGAAAACCGATTCGGGTAGCCCCGCTCATTCTGGGCGGGCATACCCGATTTTTCTATTTTTCATAAAGTATTTTTTATTAAAAAAAGATAGCACAAATATGAAACAAATGATATCTAACAATAAACCATGATTAATTATCTTCACTTTGGTTATACAGGGTGTCCCAGAAATGAGTGCAGATATTTTAAGAGGTGGTAGATCTGGTCAAAACAAACATATTTTCTCTTTACCATTTTTAAAATAAATTGAAAATAACTGAGTTATTTAACTTTGAAAATTTAAAAAAATAATCGCAACATTTTGAGAACCGCCGGCAGATATTGCCAACTACATCCAATTAGCCGGATCAAGCCCGGATTTCAGTTAATTCGACGCTGTGTTGCCATATATTAAGAAAGTATATGTTTACAAGTAAATTCATAAAATCACAACACCTGAGGAGTTTGCAGAGATGCATTACATTTTAAGATTGTGATATTATTACATAAAATAAATTAAAAAGTTAAATGTTTAAAGTTAAATTAAAAACTTGCAACATTAAAAAAGATGCTTATGACAGATCGATGTAGCTGTGACAGTTCTCTTTTTCGAAACACACTTAACTAAATACACTTCATTGTGCTGCTTTACTTGTACGTGCTATTATAAAAACTGCTATGTGATCCCCAATTTTAACTTAACACATTATTTTCGTATAGGCTTCATCACATTTTGAACCACTGATTTTACAAAACACCTTGAAAAGCACACATTACACATTACTTTGAATATCTTTCTGAATGAATAAATGTTGAGAATTATTGTCTCTATCGCCACTTTACGAACTACTTTCAATCCTAAGAGAAAATACATGTTCACTCAACAATTTTAAATACGTATTTTGCTTTTTCGCTATTTTTTCGATGTATTTCGACAACTCCGTCAACAGCCCAACCATCCGTCGGCCAAGACAGCCACGCATCACTGGTTGGTAACTACTCACTGCTTCTTTGTCGCGCCGGCGTGTCGAGCTTGCGAGTCATGCGAGTTGCCGTAGTTTCCAACAATATTCCAAATTCAAGACACTCGAAGCAATCAAATTCTTATTAAATTTAAAAATAAAACATGAAAGGGAAACAAACAAAACACAAATGAATTGATTATTGATAAAGGTCTAAAAAATTTCTAAATTGTTTATCGTAATTCAGAATTCAACATATCGAAAACAGCCCGACGAATATTCAATTCATTTTCGTTTTGTTGTTTCCTTTCATGTTTCTCTGTTTTATTTTTAAAATTTAATACAAATTTGATTGCTTCTAATCTCTTGAATTTGAAATTGTTGTAACTACGGCAACGTTGCGTAACATCGTCGTCTGACGCAAGCCTGCCACGACGGCGCGGCTCAAAGGAACAGTTCACACGTGGCACTCTTGGCCGACGCGCGACAGTCGGGCTGTCAAAAATACATCGAAAAATAGCGAAAAAACAAAATACGTATTTAAAAATTGTTGAAGTGAAAACATATCTTAGAGTGAAAGTAGTTCGTAAAGAGTGGCGATAAGAGACAAAAATTCTCAACATTTATTCAATCAGAAAGGTATTCAAAGAAATATTATATTAAACAAAAAAAAACATGAAAAGAAAACAAATATTAAAAAAAAAAAAAAAAAAAAAAAAAATTTTAAATTTTCATTTTTTGCAAAAAACCTCATGAGCGTGTTTCTGGGTTGAACTGTAGATCCATCTATTCTAGAGACCTGTATAAACATATCTATTTAATAAAAATTTGGTTCACTTACGGTGTTCTGAAAATTACACATAACCTATACCGGCCTACCACTCTGAAGGTTTTCAGTGGACTGACCGCGAAAAGTTGAAATAATGGGGCGTTTGTCCCGCAAATCTTTCTTTTGCCTTAATATGCGCACTTGACGATAGATGCCGCTAGGAATACAGGAGTTGTTAGGATAAAAACACAATGGGCGGGGTTACCCCTTGAGCGGGGCTACCCGGTTCTCCCCTACAATATATATTTTTTTTCGCAGACACTACGGCTAATACTTTCCGAGATACAGCCGAGAGCTACTCTTAGTGGGACACCCTGTACAATATATACAGGGTGGTCCGAACTGTGTTCCGGAAACTTCAGCAGCATATTCTGCAGATAAAAATAAGTAAAAAAGTTCGTATTGTTACGTTTTTCGTCGGTTCCGTGTGGATAGAAAGTCACAATTTATTTTTTTTTTTTTTTTTTTTTTTTTTTTTTTTTTCAAGAAACAATAACGATAAAAGACTTAAGAACTATTTACAAACGATTTATAACTAAAATTTATTTTTGAATTTTAGCGCGTCAACTGTACTTGTCTGTTTATAACTGCCCTCTCCTGAAGCCAACCGCCAGCTTTATACCTACAGTTAAAGTTTACTAGAATAGTCCATAGATCGTTGCATAGAGAAGGTTTCGAATGTTCTCATATGTACTACTCCATTCCAGTGGGACTCGATTCTTCTCGAATCTTCGATGAATCATTACGATGTCTATTCTTTAATGCGATGCTAAGGTCATCCGAGGGCGGGACATATAGTTAGGTTAGTCGAGTCCACACGGGCCCGCAACACTGCCCCCTTCTTAGGTACATGCTCGTCCCGAGATGTACACGGTGAATGAAAGTATTTGCAAAGCTGGCCCCTGGTACATTGCAAAGTCTGGTAGAAATAGCAGTCTGCAGTTATCTCTCCCGATCTCAGCTTTGGGTTGTAGCAACAAACAAGGATCTCGATTCCCGTAAATCTGAACAAGACTTCAATCATGTTCCGGATTGTACGCTAACTCAAACCATCGAGTCCACACGCCAGCTTCGGAATAGCTAATCGTGCAATGTTGTTGTTTAGCAGGGCTTCTCAGTTCAATCAGGGTGTTCCATAGATTGAGATAAGTCGGCTTACTCGGAGACCATTCCTTGGTGACCAGGTAGAAGATGTGTCTTGTTTGACCATGTGCATTGTCGGTTAGCCTCAAGACGCTTCCAACCTCTGGATCCTGTCGGCGTAGTTCTCCGGCACGCCCAAACTTCTCATTGAACGTCACCGCGATTCCTCTGGACATCTGCAAATCTCGGGACACACAGTGAGCGAGCGAATAATCAGGAGGCACGGAAAGAGGTCTCGTTGATCTTCTTTTGGTTTACCATAGCGACCTTCTCACTGCTGTTGTATCGGGCTATGAAATCGTCAAAGGACATCTCCGAATTAGGGGGATCAAAGCTGCAAGTTCTCACGGTCCCAGCATGATCTTCTATTTCGCCTTTGTAGGGGCTCAAACGGTTGAAATGGACTACCCTCAGTTTCCTTTGGCAATTTTCTGATACGGTATACGACGTCATTAATCCTATCCATTACTTCGTATGGCCCTTCCCACGAGGATTGTAGCTTCGGAGATAACCCACGACGTATCTGCGGGTTATATAGCCACACCAACTTCCCCGGTTGGTATCCTCCATGCTCAGCTTGAATGTCGTAGTGTTCCTTCATTCGGTCAGTAGCACTTTGAATATTTAGGCGGACTGGTAGGTTCTGGCGGACTGGTATTTAGGCGGATGGATGTAGTCCATTCTTTGACGTAGTGTGTGGACATAATCTTCTCTAGCGACTTCTTCTCCCGGTCGGCAGCCAAATTCCAGATCACAAGGTAGGCGCACTTCCCGTCCCATAACGATGCTGGCTGGAGTTTGCCCTGTAGATTCTTGGACGGATGAACGGTAGGCCAACAGGAACAGGTGAAGAAATTTGTCCCAGTCTCTTTGGTGGTCAGAGACTACTTTGGCTAGATAACGGTTGATAGTTCTGTTCATGCGTTCAACCATCCCATCGGATTGTGGATGTAGAGGAGTCGTCCTGGTCTTGCGAATGTTCAGGACTTCACAGACGCCTTGGAACAGATTGGACTCCAAAGTTTCTCTCCCTGAAGCTCCATGGGAACACCAACCTGCAGATCCATTCTTTAACAAGGGCATCAGCAACGGTGGACGCTTCTTGATTGGGCAACGCGTAGGCCTCGACCCATTTGCTGAAGTAATCCATTACTACCACAATGTATTTGTTGCCATCGTTCGTCTCCGGGAAAGGACCAGCCACGTCGATCGCTATTCGTTCGAAGGGACTGTGTGGCCCATTGATGGCTGCGCAAATGTCACATTTCTTACACCAGGCCCTCACATCTTCTTTGCAGTTCGCCCAGTAGAACCGTTCACGCAGCTTGCCAAGTGTCTTGGTAACACCTAGATGTCCACCGCTGGTTCCATTGTGAACTTCCTCCAAGACTTCTGGGACCCTCTTCTTTGGAATGACGATCTGCCTTCTTTCTTCTTGTCCCTCCGGTCTCTCGATCACACGGCGAAGTAGTCCGTTATCTATTACCAAGGAATTCCATTGAGCCCAGTACGACTTTACGTTCGGCGAATATCTGCAAACTTCTTCCCACGTTGGTCTTTGGCCTGCGTTTTTCCAGTTAATTACTAAACCTAATTCTGGGTCACTGGTTTGGTCATTTGCAAGATCTTCGGGTTGCCAACTATCA